GGGGGGGGGGGGGGGGGGGGTGATGGTAATTTGTTTAATGTGGAGAGTAAAGGCCAGCCTTGAATGATTTAAGGCTGTCTGCATCAGCAAGATAGGAGAGCAGCTATATATAGCTGTTCCAGTCAGCTATGGTCTTTGCATGTAAGAGAACTTTAAAAAAGTCTTTGGATGCCTGAATTGGACGATAGTGGTGGTTTCCCCAAGTCCTTGAGTCAGTCTTGGTTAAGTACTGGTCTGCTGGTATAGCTATGAGATCATGAGTGATCTTATAGAAGTTGACCAGCCTGGCCTTCCTCTGACGACTCTGCAGGGAGTCCCACTTGAGGGAGTCAACCATTGCCGTGACAAAACCTGGAGTTCTGGAGTGAAAGTTATTATAGACGTTTCTGGTCGCTCTTTTCTTCTGCAATTTATGGCTAAAAATTATGAAATAAAAAGTTGGTGGGGTCAGTCGATGAATGAAACAGACTCCCTCGAGGATTGTTTCCTTGCAATTGAGGACCCACTTTTCAGATTTTCCAAAGGAAAAGATTGCGTCTACTCTAAGTCAGATTACAGATCCGCATTTAATATAGGTTCATACTTGCAGATATAATGTAATACAAGTAGTCCATCCAATAACTCAACTAAGTGTTTCTAGTTTGAATCCTGCCTACATATGACACTACCACTATGCATTCCCTTTATGAAATCTGAAGATACACTGCTATCTTATGCCAGTTAATTATGTGTTCTGTTTACCAAGTATCATGAAGATCTATGGCATAGACCTAATGCCCCTGACCAGACCTAGATATTGCCAGGAACAATAACATAGTACCTATAGCATTCTTTCAAAAGTAACAAAATACTATTTCAAATGTGTGAATAAAAGCAATTCAGCTGATGATCAGGAGTATCTACACAGAATTTAAAATCCTACCCAAAAATTATACTGTAGATATTTGCATAAAATGAATTTGCAATTTAGAGGAATGTATTTATAAACAGTTTAAATGACACTTTTAAACCACACTGTATAGAGTAATGATAGTTATCCTACCATTTGTTGGGGTTAAGGACTATCAAATTTGTTAAAGTTAATTGATTTGACTCACATTCAAGTTATTAACAATACACAGAGGAATGTTTAAATTCACCTTTATACTACCTGATTAGATGGAAAGATGTGTAGTGAAAGATGGCCAGTGGTAATGTTTTACTGTCTCCATGTGTTCCACTGTTAGTTATTTTAGGCAAAAAATGTATGTTTTAGGTATCCTGACTGGCCCTAGATTTTACCTCTGACCTAAACAATTTTATCTCACTTGAATGCACTCTCCAGGTGTACATAGTATTGCTTTATATACTCACAATTTGTATAAAATGAAAAATTGTATAAAATGAAGTACAGTTTGTCTAAATAACTTAGTTTGGTGATATTTGTTACTGCTTAAATTAACACCCCTCACCCCACACCCATTCCTCTCAAAACAATATCACAATGTGTTTCTATCCTCCTCAGTTTGATTCCTGTAGTACCAGGTACCTTAATTTGATTGTCTCTAGGGGTATACTATGCACTAAGTATCTAGACTTTGTCTCTAGGGGTAAAGTATCTAGACTTTGTCTCTAGGGGTAAAGTATCTAGACTTTGTCTCTAGGGGTAAATTATCAAGACTTTGTCTCTAGGGGTAAAGTATCTAGACTTTGTCTCCAGCTGTGCACTTGTTGATGTCCTGTAGCATATTATGATTGTTTTTAAGCGTTACAAATCACTATTTATATTTTTGACATCACTGTTTGATGTCTCTTGGTATATTTATTTGATTCTCCCCAGCTGTTTTAACTTTATATATAGACATACATTTGTTTATCAACTGAACTTTGATCTTTTCCAGCTTTTCACACCTAGCTGTTCCTAACATGTTTAAGAGCCAGTCTGAAGCTGTTGGAGGGACAACATAGGTAAATATGCTTACAAGGTACTTTGTTTGGGTTGTATAACAGTTACCTATTTAATAATACTTTTCACATAAACTCAGGTAACAACACATTATGTATCAATTGTATCTTTTATTGATGTTTGACATAAATGAATTTGTTGATCGTCATTTGTCTTTGAGTTCCGTGTACCAAGGGAGATTATCTCTTGTGTCCAAGATGGCGGTCTGACAGAATCGTCAATCTTTTCATGAAAAAAACCCCTTGATATTGCTTACAATTATGTATTTTGCGCACCCCCCACTTTGGACATTACATTTCCCCAAAAAAACTGTGCATATTACACAAGTTTTTACAGTACTTGGTAAAAAAATGAAATTTAAAAATATAAAAATATGAAAAAAAAAACAATTCTTACATAAATATTATACACTACTGCTGAATAAAACAATGAATACTGAACACATAAGGTAACCATATAACATCAAAACACTGAATACTGAACACATAAGGTAACCATATAACATAAAACATTGAATACTGTACACAAAAGGTAAATATATAACATAAAACACTGAATACTGAACACAAAAGGTAAATATATGACATAAAACACTGAATACTGAACACAAAAGGAAAATATATAACATAAAACACTGAATACTGAACTAATAAGGTAAACATATAACATCAAAACACTGAATACTGAACATATAAGGTAAACATATAACATCAAAACACTGAATACTGAACACAAAAGGTAAATATATAACATAAAACACTGAATACTGAACTAATAAGGTAACCATATAACATCAAAACACTGAATACTGAACACATAAGGTAAGTATATAACATAAAACACTGAATACTGAACACAAAAGGTAAATATATAACATAAAACACTGAATACTGAACACAAAAGGTAAATATATAACATAAAACACTGAATACTGAACTAATAAGGTAAACATATAACATCAAAACACTGAATACTGAACACATAAGGTAAGTATATAACATAAAACACTGAATACTGAACACAAAAGGTAAATATATAACATAAAACACTGAATACTGAACACAAAAGGTAAATATATAACATAAAACACTGAATACTGAACTAATAAGGTAAACATATAACATCAAAACACTGAATACTGAACACATAAGGTAAGTATATAACATAAAACACTGAATACTGAACACAAAAGGTAAATATATAACATAAAACACTGAATACTGAACACAAAAGGTAAATATATAACATAAAACACTGAATACTGAACTAATAAGGTAAACATATAACATCAAAACACTGAATACTGAACACATAAGGTAAGTATATAACATAAAACACTGAACACATAAGGTAAACATATAACATAAAACACTGAACACATAAGGTAAACATATAACATAAAACACTGAATACTGAACAAATAAGGTAAACATATAACATCAAAACACTGAATACTAAACACATAAGGTAAATATATAACATAAAACACTGAATACTGAACACATAAGGTAAACATATAACATCAAACCAGTGAATACTAAACACATAAGGTAAACATATAACATCAAACCAGTGAATACTAAACACATAAGGTAAACATATAACATCAAAACACTGAATACTAAACACATAAGGTAAATATATAACATAAAACACTGAATACTGAACACATAAGGTAAACATATAACATCAAACCAGTGAATACTAAACACATAAGGTAAACATATAACATCAAACCAGTGAATACTAAACACATAAGGTAAACATATAACATAAAACACAGAATACTGAACACATAAGGTAAACATATAACATCAAACCAGTGAATACTAAACACATAAGGTAAACATATAACATCAAACCAGTGAATACTAAACACATAAGGTAAACATATAACATCAAACCACTGAATACTAAACACATAAGGTAAACATATAACATCAAACCAGTGAATACTAAACACATAAGGTAAACATATAACATAAAACACAGAATACTGAACACATAAGGTAAACATATATCATCAAACCAGTGAATACTAAACACATAAGGTAAACATATAACATCAAAACACAAAATAATAAAGAGCTTTGTCACTGAATGATATTAATTAAATGAGTAAACTGTTTATTTCGTAAATTATGAAACAAGTTTTTGTAAATTACATTTATCATTCCCGTCAAAAAAAACTGGGGAAACCCCGCTTGGTCGGGCAGGTTACCCAAATACCTTTTACACGTCTGATCTGGGAGTCGAATACCGGTCATCTGGGTAAAAGATAAATGCACTATCCTCTGCACCTCCACCACTTACCAGACCTGCATGTATAATGTTTGCATATTTGTACAGGAATTAACATATTTCTACACATTTCCTTCAGTTGGTAAGTCTGGATAATGAAAAGATTCTTGCAACACAACCATTAAGTGTTTGTGGAATTTACATATTTAGCAAAGTACTTTTTCATTAGTAAGAACATTTCATTTAGTAACATGTTTTATTTTTATTTCAGCAAAACATGTGTGGCAGATACCCCGACAAAGGCTGGTGATTATCAAGACACTGTGGACAGATTAGGTGCTGATATCACCTGATATTTAGTGTGATAAAGCAGGATAAGAGATATGTAGTCATATAATGTCCAAGACATCTTATTGCACAACCAGATTATCAACTTATATTCTAGCTTGGATGGAAGTAAACAGTAATTAGTAACAAGCAACCACTGTAACCAAATCGCATTCAAGAATCATTGAAGAAAAAGAACACTAATATGTAAATACACTACCATGAAGCAAGCTACAAAAACTCATGCTAATACACGTGTCGATGAAAGCCCTCTTTTAGAGGACAACCTCATTTGTACAAGAAATCTCACCTCATTAGACACACCATTACATACAGTGCAAAGTTTTGACAGCGAAATTACTGACTCTTACGATATTTACAAAAATGAAAATACCACCTGTAGCAGAAATATAACTTTACTGGAAATTGCTAATACCTCATCATGTATATCGAATGCTTCAGAAAAGGAAAAGACGAAACAATGTAAGATCGACCATACTGATGGGATAACTGGTAGGAATATTACTTTTCCAGAATGTAGATTTATACATACAATAACAGAAAATGATCAGAGTAAAGATGTTCAGATGAGAACAGATTTAAGCAGGCTACCATACGAGTCTCCCTCATCCGAGACAATTGAAACACCGTCGTACACAAGTGATGCTTGCCATTTGTCCGACGGTCCCACTCAGAAACCTGAAACACAAACACGGAAAAAGCCATTTAAATGTGACATCTGTGGTAAGGGGTTTATGCAGAAAGCAAGTTTAGAACCACATTTAAGAACCCACACGGGGGAGAAACCTTACAAGTGTGGTATGTGTGCAAAAGGGTTCAATTACTCGGGAGCTATGAGAAGGCATCTCCGAATACACACCGGAGAAAAACCCCACACGTGTGGGGTGTGTGGGAAAGAGTTCGGCAACAAAGGACATCTACAGGGACATCTCGTCATCCATACAGGACTCAAACCCCACAAGTGTGCCGTCTGCGGTAAGGACTTCGGCCAGGCTGGTGACTTAAGGAAACACATGAGGATCCACACTGGAGAAAAACCATACAGTTGTGAAATTTGTGGAAAGGATTTCAGTAGATCTGGACACTTAAAAGAGCATCGTTTGGTTCACACTGGAGAAAAACCATATACATGTGATTACTGTGGAAAGGACTTCAGTCGGGCCGGCCACTTAAAAGGACACCTGAAAATCCACACCGGAGAAAAACCATACAAATGTGATGTTTGTGGAAAGGCTTTTAATCAAACAGAAAATCTGCATCAACATGTGAGGACACATACAGGTGAAAAGCCATTCAAATGTGATGTCTGTGGGAAAGAGTTGAGTCAAAAAAGTAACCTACTGGCGCACCTTCGCATACATACGGGAGAGAAACCGTTTAAATGTGACATTTGTGGTAGAGAATTTAGTTGGCAAGATAACTTGAAGCGACATCTGACGAGGCATGCTGAGGGTAAATCATACAAGTGTGAAAATTGTGAAAAATGTTTTAGTAGAAGAGAACATCTGCAGCGACATACCAAGAGACACCTCGGAGAAAGACTCTACAAGTGTAACATTTGTAAGCAAGAATTTACTGAGAAGGGAAACCTAAAACGTCACCATGCAAGGAAGCATTCTAAAAGTATAAATGTTGCACCTGGGGATGAGGACTTGGAGTTTTTCACCATTGATGCAGTCATTCAGGGAGCTAATGCTTATGATAATATCTCCATATAATGTATATGTGTGTTCAGTTGGTTTTTCTTGCAACCTCAGTCGTGTGTCTGTTCCGATCTCTTCGACTAAGTAGAGGTCAGTTTGCTAACTTTTGAATTTTAAAAGACGTCATCACAAGGAACTATCAGGAATTGATACATATATTCAAAGCTAAATCTTACAAATTCACAAGGTAATGCATAAGAGCTAGATAGTTTGCTACATATGCATATAACAGTTATTTATTTAATGATCATAATTTATAAGAAAAATAAATTTCATGTAAGTAAATAAATGCGCAAACGACTTTCTTATATTATTTTTCATATTTTATATATCGTTGGTGTTTTACCGCGGTATTGTGTCTTTGAAGAGGAGGAGGGGCTCTATTTCAGCGGTCCGTGATAGTATGTCGTGTGTAACTGTGCATATGTATATGTTTTAGTCGTCATGATCACCAGATTTGCAACCATTGAAATTCAATTTCTGTGATAAGTTATGAAAGCAGAACGGTTATGCGATATAATCAGGCCAAAGAGTCTCAAGAGCATACACGGAGACCATTGAAATAATAAACATTTGATTTATTTAATCGTTTGATATAATTTAAGTGAGTATTAAAGAAGAAAGTTGGTTTGAGCACAAAATCCATGCTGAGCATGTGAACGGTTTCATAAATATGGGCCCATGTGTTCCGGAGGAGTAAGCGTTTTCTGCTTTAGAGACGATACCTGCTATATCAATATAGGTTGTCTTGTTCTCAAAAATAGAAATCAGGGAAATGACAGAAATCACAAGGAACACTTTTGATCATATCAACACCCGTCGATTATTTCCAAATATGATTATGATGGCGACATATCCGTCGTGAAATCAATTGCTGCTGATTTGAGATACAATAACGAAGGGTACATTATTTTGTGCAGAGAAAGCTTCTCCTTCTGGAACATTCGCTTTCCCATTCGTTTCGTTTTGGTCCATTGTGTCTTTCCCATTCGTTTTGTTTTGGTCCATTGTGTCTTTCCTATTCGTTTTGTTTTGGTCCATTGTTGCTTTCCCATTCGTTTTGTTTTGGTCCATTGTGTCTTTCCCATTCGTTTTGTTTTGGTCCATTGTGTCTTTTCCATTCGTTTTGTTAAGGTCCATTTTGTCTTTCCAATTTGTTTTGAAATATGTTCGGCTATTTGTTTTACGTTCGTTGTAGACATATTTGTCCGGGATGTTTTAAAGAAAGTGTGCACGTCCTTCTTCAGGCATATTCATAGTACACTTTGTCAATAAAAATATTGAACAGGCCACATAATTAGCGCTAGAGGCAGGTGGGAGTACTTTTAAATTGTTTGATGGCGGGTATCCATACTCGCGAAACTATTTATTAAACTATTTATTTCCAATTGCATCGATATCATGAATATAATTTTACTGTCAGTATTGAGTAGTATTTACTAGTATGGGAATGCTCTTCTTGACACTGGAAATATTGCTATAAAGTGTAAGATCATTTTCTGTCTTTACAGTGGTGCAATATTACCAAAATCACTAAATGGATGTTTACTGTTTGTGATGTCTTATCGGTATAATACTGAATGATTTGTTGATATGATGATACTCCTTTCTAAACTCATCATCGTAGTAAATACAAACTCTTTTAATTCAGATAAATTATAAAAATAAAAAAATAAAAAAATAATGATGATATTAAATAATAAAAAAATGGTATCAAATAAAAATAAATTGTAAAAACGTTACGGTGAGGTATTTATCCATGTTTTAAGGAATCAAATCACTGTTTAACTACATGCTTATATGTTTAACTTCACAGTCTTTGTCAGTGTATTGATGGACACAGGCATTGTTGCCTCTATACCCACATCAATATAATTAGGAAAACATGATGGTAAACTATGGAACGCCAGAGCTGCCTAACACTACGGTCAGTATATTACTTAGTTACTATTCAATGTCATAAAGACAGATACACATTCCATATGGTCCCAAACATATGTTATATTATCAAATTATTATGATATAGTGTCACCATATTATGTTATGTTGTCAGATTATTATGTTATAGGGTCCCCAACATATGTTATACTATTATAGAGTCACCATATTATGTTATGTTGTCAAATTATTATGATATAGGGTCCCCAACATATGTTATACTATCAAATTATTATGATATAGTGTCACCATATTATGTTATATAGTCAATTTATTATATTATATGGTCACAAATTAATGTTATATTGTCAATTTATTGTATTATATGGTAAGGAATTTATGTTTAATTGACAATTTAATATGTTATATGGTAACCAATTTACGTTATATTGTCAAGTTATTGAGTTTTATAGTCCCCGGTACAAGCTATTTGGTGTAAAATGTATGTTAAATGATCAGTTCAAGGTGTCATTTTATCACGGTTTTATATCACATCGTCAATAAAATATTTCATATAGTCCACAATGACAGTTATATTATCAGTTAACTATGCTATTTGATTCCAAATATACGTTATGTGGTCCAATTTATATTTCACATTATCATTTTATACGATATATGGTCTCTATCGTATGCCGTGTCATCCTTTTATTATGTTACATAGTCACGGTTTCGTGTTATTAAGATCTTTTGGAAGACGTGTCGTGGTTGTTCGTAATTCTCGCGCGTTTTTCAGATTTAAGCGCATCAGTGATCATGATTCAACAAAAATAATACGTTAAATTGCATCTATTCTTTTAGTGAAACAATATTTTCTTAAGATATGGACGGGAATGGGTTTTTTTTCTTTAATTAATTTTACTGTATCCACGAGTTTTTCGTATAGCCATTCATATTATTGAAAACTTTTATCATATCTCTGCTCAAGCGACTGTATGCTGTAGTTGGAAGCCTTAAACGGTGTAGTCTTTCCCTTTAGGTAATATTATGAAAGACCATATTTTGTGTAGATTCAAAACACCTGCAGCATAGTGTAAATGACAGCGCTTTCAATGGATTTGTGAACATTTTTACGTCCAAAGTTAAAAATGATCGCCTTATGTCACCTGCGATGCTGTTGACAAATTATTACTTTTTGGAAATGTGTCCTACAGTTTATGTCCTGGTCTGCTACAGCAGCCAAATCTTCCTCTGATATAATGTTTTAAGTACGATAAGTTCTCCTCCCTTTCATAATAATAATAATAATAATAATAATATACAACATTAATATGGCGCCCTATATAATTTGTAAAATTACTCTTAATCGCTTTAGTCGTTATCGTTATATTTTGAAATGATGTAGTGTTAAAGTTTCAACTATTCATTAAATCAATGAAAAGCGGGTTGCCTTAACCCATTATTATTAGTTATTCACTATAATTGGAACCACATTATTATTAGTTATTCACTATAATTGGAACCACATTATTATTAGTTATTCACTATAATTGGAACCACATTATTTTAAGTTATTCACTATAATTGGAACCACATTATTTTAAATTATATTTAAACAACCTGTCAATTTGTTTACCATTTCATTGATAATATTAAACTCCTAGTCATTTACTTAAGTATAATTTCCATCCAGAAAAGGTAGACTTTGCACTGTGTTCAAAACTGCTGAACATAAAGCCATTCTTATTATGGCGCACGCGTATAAACAGGTGACCCCCTGGCTCAGTCCAAAGACAACAAGAGCTGTACAATAATGCAAATGACTCTTTGGAATACGCGATTAACTTAAACACTGTGAAAGCATCTCAAAAAAGGAAATTGTACGTTTAAATGCATCATGTATTTTATTTTACATGATATAATGATCATATACCAAGGCATACACGTGGTGCACGTTAGAAAATTACTTGTCCAGAATGGATCGGTCGATGCATATTAATCTGAGTAGTTTATCGATTGGTTAGTGGGGATTAAAAGTTGTTTATTTTTGGATAAAATTGGGAAAATAATGATAAATAATTTAACAGACTAACAAAGTAGGTATAGGTCATACATGGATCAAGAAATACATGCTTATCTGACTTGTTGCCAGTGTTCGATCCTTATGTTTAATCTCGTCAGACGAGACTTCGGTAGAGATGCTGTCATTGAGGGCGACATCGTTGTGTGAAAGGTCATCATAGGTGTTGTTATTCCGTTTGGACACAAACCCTGCTTGTGCTTCCCCGTTAGTTAATTAGTTAACTCTGTTCTCACGGCTTTCCCCACCATTTACAAGATCTGCATCAATGTCTGTACTACAAATCAGACACACGTTTTCCAAGATCTCGTGAAGCCGTAATTATTTCAGGTTCTTTCTTTGTAAGTGACGTCAACTGCTGTTTCAGTTGATTGAAGTTCTTCCTCTGAATTTGGTAAAGACTGCAATATGATTTTCTAGTGGGTTTTTTCAGTTCGCTTATTCGGACATCTTTCTCCGTCAGTTGACGTTCCATTGTGGTTAATTTCTGATCCACAGTGGCTACGAAGTCCCGCCATTGTTGTGACTGCTCAGTGGAATGAAGAACTGCTCCATCTAGTTTTCCAGATATACAAACGAGCAGAAGGATGACCATCACATTGGCGGACATGTTGGTAGATCTGTGACCGAGAAACACACTGACACTGATCAAAATGTTATAGACTCTTTCCGTATCATATTGACCATAAAACTGGAAATATCTGTTACAGAATGCTCGACCATTTATACTGGTACACGCTATCTGACTATTTCTGTTTCAAACTGTGTAGTATCAACATCACGTATGTGCATACTCCTCAGTGATGATATAGGATTAATAGGATTTACATTTGATCACGTGATGAACCATTAATTTGAAGTGAATGATATGTTACGTAAAATTGACCTATTGTAATGTTGATTTGATGTAAATCATTGTTTAGATGTGCTTACTATGGAAATAGTGATAAACTGTCCTGGTCTTACGGAGGAACAGTTATATGAGACAGAAAGATATATTGAATTACAAAAACTGTATTCATTGATTGTATTGCAATTGAGCAGTAAATAATATGAATATGGAATATCACATAAATAGTACATAACTGTTCTAGTATTTTGCGTGACCTTTATCAGTTCAAGTCTATCTGATTATCCATGTACTATCGTTCCGTTGTAACAAAAAGCACGTACACATGGCCGATATGTAATGCCCTTCTGTTCCTATTGTAACTAATAGCATATCACGTTAGACTGACCGAAAATTCATTCCTCTGCAGCCAACATATTTATCACGAAGCCTTAATTCTAAAGATTTTCAAAAGATGTTTTACATTGTCAAGACTTATTGAGAGTATCATGAGGGTAAACGTGTACACGCGCACCTTTAGAACAACTAACATGACATGTCGCAGCAATGGGCGGACTTCCAAACCTCTTTTGACAATAAAGTCGCCAACCTGGAAAGCCTGCTAACTGAAAAGGATAACAGAATTAGTCTGCTTGAAGCAAAACTAGATATTGAAATAGAAAAGAATTCGGAAAGAGCACAGCTTAAAAGTAACATGATGATGTAAATATACTCAACAAATACAAATCTGAGTAGAAAAAGATATTAGTAGAAAATGATATTAGTAGAAAATGATACAAATATGAAGTATCACATAAATATTACATAACTGTTCTAGTATTTTGCGTGACCTTTATCAATCCGAAGTCTATCTGAAAATCCATGTACTCCCATTCCGTTGTAACCAAAACAAAAAGGACGTACACCTGACCGATATGTAATGCTCTTCCGTTCCTTTTGTAACTAATAGCATATCACGTTAGACTGACCGAAAATTCATTCCTCTGCAGCTAACATATTTAACACGAAGCTTGGATTTAAAAGACTTTCGAAAGATACCTCACATTGTCAATACTTGTTGAGAGTATCCTGAGGGTATGTATATACGTATATTAGCCGACGTTTAGAACGACTAGGACACGACAGTGGTCAACAATGTCTGCCCGGCTTGTAATAGTACTCTGGCTCTTCGGCAGCATTTGTGAAATTAACGGTGCAGCTCTTTCTGCTGATGACATGTTTCAGCGATGGACGGACTTTGTAGCCACTTATGACAATAAAGTCGCTAAACTGGAGAGCCTGCTTACTGAAAAGGACGAAAGAATTAGTCTTCTTGAAGCAAAGCTAGACATTGAAATAGAGAAGAAGAACTCGGAAATGGCACAGCTTAAACGTGATATGACGATGCTGATACAAAACACAAATATACTCAACAAATACAAATCTGCCTTCACAGATGAATTCGAAGGTAAAGATGTTGAAGAAATGGAACTCAATGTTGACATTGAAAACAGCCCAACAGTAGCTAGACCAGAGAATAATGCGGGGCTGCAAAAGTTCAAGGGAGATAATACAACACATACAAACATTTCAAAAACTGTCAGGCACGACGACAAGGACATTAAGGTTGACCGCCTTGATGGAAGTAGAAGGGGCGTCGAACGTGAAACACTGAGGAGATACAGACGTATGTATTTCTATATCAAATATCACCCAAATTATGTCAAACAGATACGACTTCGAAGTTATGATAGTTATTTTGACTATGTATGTGATGTTTATATTGTTTCAAAGTGACTGTTTGTCTTTGTTAGATATTAATGTAAGTGTTCATGTTTCTGTCCTGAGAAAGGGTCGGATTGCCCCGAAAATTTGACCAATTCCTTTCTCTGCACTGTCGATATTACTTCTCTGCTTATATATAGATTTAAGTAATACGTATCCAACGAACGTTTGTTTGTTCGGATCCAGCACCACTAATGAGACCTATATATAAATATTTTTTATTTTTATTTCATTGACGCATTTAACGTAAGTACATTCATTTAATATTTTTAAGATGTCGCAATTTGAAGACGTCTGCATTAGGTGTACTTTGTTTATGACGTCATTATTTTTGACGTCTTAAGTATGTGTACTGCATTTATGACGTCACAAATAAATTCAAATCGCATGAAAAGCCCCAAGATGGATGAAAGCGCCAGCAAATTCTAGTCTTCGTGTTTTGTTTTATATATAAATATTTTGATATGCATGTAGATGTGTGCAAAATGAATAGATTTATATCACTGCTAAGTAAAAACTAAAAATTCTTACCCAGACAGTTGTCCTGACATTCTACCGGTTTTGTCACTGGTTAGCTATGTATCGGGAGATAACTCCCCTCGTCCACCGCAGAACGTTAATGTTTGCTTATAAAACAATATGATTTAACGACGTTCTGGTATATATATTTTCTTTTCACCTTGTATCCATATAATTAACTGAATTCCGGTATAATAAATATTCAAATAAGCCTGTGACGTCATGGACGTATTTTCGCACAAACTCGTGCCATCCGCATCATCTGTTAAACTATATCAGTGGTTTTGATACAATGACCTACACAAACCAGTTATGTTAAAACCTTTTAGAGACTTAGGGTTACTCTCGTTCCTTTCTCGTCTATTCCTGTATTTTTTCACATGTTTAGAACTAGATATTATTCTTTCTTCTATATGATTTTTTTGTATTCCTAAGGTGTTGCCCCTACGCCTACCGTGGCATTCCACACGAAAATGTCCTCTCCAAGGACCTTAGCGAATGGTATTACAATTATGTTTGACGAGGAGGCACTTGACCAAGGAAATGGCTACAACCAACATGATGGTATCTATACAGTACCAGTGTCCGGGACGTATGTCATGACATGGAAAGTTCTGTCTGCCATTCATAGTGTCATACACACCAGTCTTGTGGTGAACGGGGTAGTTATGGGAAATTCCGATACAGATTCGGAAGATATCACTGACATACATCAAACAACGGCGATCGTTGTTCTCCGACTGAATCAGGGAGATCTCGTGCTCGTTCGGGTTACTGGAACAAACCTCGGAGGCATCGTCAGTGATACCTTTCATGGAAAAGCCACATTTTCAGGCTGGAAAATATGATTAAAAGCGTTTAGTAAAATATAAGAAATGCTTTCGTCGTGGTATATTTGGAGTAGCTGGTAAACTCTTTTGACAGTTTGGTATCTCGATGTGTCTTTTTAATTATTGGCATTGTTGTTTATTGGGTACTTAATTGGGTACTTAATTGGTACTTCATTGGGTAAGTAACTTTGGCAGTAAAGTATATTTAAGTTCCTTTGCCGGCATTGCAATTCATTTGGTATCTTATTTACTATTTTGGAAAATGAAGTATATTGGGTTCCCCTTTGACTATTTTGGCAATGTTGTATACTTAATACCTGATTCAGAATTCCTGGCAGTGTGGTACATTGCTATGATTGGTTAATCACTGTTAAATATTGTTACAGTTTGACCGCTTCGCGACCTAGTAAACAACATTTGTACTTCTATAAACACGTGCCTGTGACATGCATATTAATAACACCAATACATTGGTTTGAACTTGAAAATACCCCGGGACCTGCTGTCATATATATGGTTTCGACAGTGTGCTATCTTTGGGCCTTAGCATACCTGGGGGTTTTTTTTGGGGGGG